TTCCTTTTCGACCTCTTCTAGACAGCCAAGACTGAGACGATGCCAGTGCCTACTGGTTCTTGCTTCTTTTCTCCGCTCTTCTCCGTTCCGCTCCTCTCTCTCTCTCTCTCTCTCTCTCTCTCTCTCTCTCTCTCTCTCTCTCTCTCTCTCTCTCTCTCTCTCTCTCTCTCTCTCTCTCTCTCTCTCTCTCTCTCTCTCTCTCTCTCTCTCTCTCTCTCTCTCTCTCTCCTCCTCCTCCTCCTCCTCCCTTCATCTTCCCTTCATCTACTCACCGTAGAGGATCTCCCCCGAGCTTCTCCAGCAGAGAGAGAACGACGACTGGCATCATCACTGTCACCGCCCTCCTACCTCCCCTCCCGCCTCCTCCATTCTCTCGCATCTCCTCCCTACAGTTGTTCTCTCCGTCCATTCTCTCCCCATCTCTTTCCCTGATCTATTTTCTCTCCTCCTTCTCCTCCTCCCTCCTCCCTCTCCTCCTCCCTCCTCTTCTTCTCAGCCCTCGCTTATCTCCACGTCTTCGACCTCACCGTAGTTCCCTCTGTTGATCTTATCTCGCAGCGCTCGCAGCGTGTCCACTCGGATCTTAAGAGGATGAGGAGCGTATCGAAGGGCAGCGGACAGGCGCCACTGGATTGCTTGAGGAAGAACGTGAGGTCTCCTCCCCCTGTCCACCTCGATCACCCCCATCTGCATCCACCCGTCAGCTCCTCCTCTGCCCTCTCATCAACCTGGGCAACCTCTCTCCTTTCTCTCCCTCCCCTCCTCACTCTCCTTCTTCAACCTCCCCCCCCCCCCCCCCGGGGTCCTCCCTTTCTCCTCTCCTCTCCTCCTCTACCTTCCCCTGCTCCCCCTTCTCCCTCTTCCTCACCTGCCGCTTCACTGTCGCCCCCCTCTGCTTCAGCGCGCTGATGAAATGATCTTGCGCCAGCCGCAGCGCCTTCCTCACGTTGCGAGAGCGATACTTCTCCTTGAGCAGCCGCTCCTCCTCCAGCCTTCGCTTCCTCTCCTGGATCTCCTGCATGCTCGATCGTCAGCCAAGGTGAGGCATCGTAGGACTTGAGAGTGCAAGACGGAGAGGGAGAGAGGGGAGGAGAGGAGGGAAGAGGAGGGAAGAGGAGGGCAGGGGGGAGGGAAAGGGAGGTGAGCAGAGTGGAGAGGAGGAGGAGCAGGAGGACTGACTCTATTCTTGGCTTCGATGTCAGCATGAGCTTCCATTCTGATCTTCTCGAGCAAGTCCTTGAAGAGCCGAAGGCGTCAGGAGGCAGCTGACAAGGGTGGAGGACAGGAAGGCGGAGTTGGTGGTGGAGGAGTAGGCGATTGAGCAGGAGGTGGTGAAGGAGAGGGGAGTTGAAGAGGATGGGAGAGTGGAGGGGAGGAGGAGGAGAAGAGCGTTGTACCTGTCTCCTCTTGTGCAGTCTTCGTTCCTGTCGGCATCCACGTCAAATCGCAGAGCTTCAATTCTCACCCTCCCCCTTCCAACTTCCACTCACCTCCCGTCTCGTCGCCTCCTCAGCTTTTTTCACGGCCTGATGTTGCTTCTCCAGCTCGGACACGCTGTGGCGGAGAAGACAGAACCATCAGAATTTCGCCAGCGTGCGTCGACCCTTCAACAAACGAGGAGGAGGAGGAGGAGGAGGAGGAGGAGGAGAGGAGGAGGAGAGGAGGAGGAGGAGGAGGAGAGGAGGAGGAGGAGGAGGAGGAGGAGGAGGAGGAGGAGGAGGAGAGGAGGAGGAGGAGGAGGAGGAGGAGGAGGAGGAGAGAGAGAGAGGAGGGGAGGAGGGAGGAGGGAGGAAGAGGGGAGAGGAGGAAGGAGGGTAAGAGCGGAGGGCGATGGCGATCGGGGAGAAG